CATGCTCAAAGGTTACCTGTGGAGTACCACAGGGATCAGTGCTAGGACCAATTCTTTTTACTTTATACATGCTCCCAATCGGTAGAGTTATTAGACAGCATGGGATTAATTTCCACTACATGGATGGTGGTTCCATTCTGTCTGCTTCAGAAACACCTTCATGACCTTCACTAAGACGTCCAGAGGAAGCTGTGGTCTGTTGGGATGGTCTGCAGTGGTCTGGAGCAGTTTCTGAACTAAAGGCAGGTGGTTGTGTTTAATTACCCTCTTTCCACCAGGAAGGAGTCTCTCCACACCTTTGGCTTCCTGTTCACCTGAAACCTGGAGCACACAGAGGAACAGCAGGGTGAGTTCTACCAGCCCACCATCCAACAGCATCCAACTGCCATCCAGCTACCATCCTACCACAATCCAACACCATCCAATCACCATCCTACAAGAATCCAACAGCATCCAACACCATCCAACCACCATCCTACAACCATCCGACAGCATCCAACACCATCCAACCACCATCCAACAGCATCCAACACAATCCAACAGCATCCAAACACCATCCAACTACCATCCTACTACAATCTAACAGCATCCAGCCATCATCCTACAACCATCCGACAGCATCCAACACCATCCAACCACCATCCAACAGCATCCAACAGCATCCAACAGCAACTGACAGCATCCACCACCATCCGACAGCATCCAACTACTATCCAACAGCATCCAACAGCATCCAACTACCATCCAACACCATGCAACACCATCCAACTACCATCCAACAACATCCAACACCATCCAACAGCAATCCAACAGCATTCAACAGCATCCAACAGTCTCCAACACCATCCAACCAGCATCCAACAGCATCCAACTACCATCCAGCAGCATCCAACTACCATGCAACAGCATCCAACAGCATGCAACAACCATCTGACAGCATCCATCCACCATCCGACAGCATCCAACTACCATCCAACAGCATCCAACAGCATGCAACTAGCAACCAATAGCCTCCAACACCATCTAACCACCATCCAACAATATTCAACACACTCCAACACCGTCCAACTACCATCCAACAGCATCCAGCAGCATCCAACAACCATCACACAGCATCCAACACCATTGAACCACCATCCAACAGCATCCAACACCATCCAACCACAATCCGACAGCATCCAACTACCATCCAGCAGCATCCAACTACCATCCAACAGCATCCAACACCATCCAACCACCATCCAACAGCATCCAACTACCATCCAACCACCATCCGAGAGCATCCAACTACCATCAAATAGCACCTGATGGCATCCAACTACCATGCAACAGCAAACAACAATCCAACAGCATCCAACTACCATCCAACAGCATCTGACAGCATCCAACTACATCTAATAGCATCCAACACNAATGAATGAATGAATGAATGAATAATTATCTTCAGTGTCTCTCAGACCTGAAATATTTCATGAGTCAATAAAACAACTTTAGCTTTTATGCGTTTATTACAAAAGATCATCAAAAATCTAAAACAAGTTCTGATTTTACCTCTGAGATAAAGAAACAATAAATCCTGTCAGAAAGTCATTGTGAAGAAAATCTCATTTCCAAACTCAAATTCAAAGGATCCATCAGTGAATATTTTAAACCTAATTCCTTAATAAATCTGTTTCCTGATGGAAGCAAGGCTGATTTCAAACTCTTCTCACCTGTGAGTCACTTTCACCGCATCAGACGGCACCACTGGGTCAGGAACTCCTCCCAGTCCACTGAACTCGTCACCTGGCTCGCTCTGATTGGCTCCGCCCACCGTGCTGTGGTTACCAGGGTAACCATTTAGGCTGGACAAGGAGCGGCTGTAGCGGTTTCTTGTGTAGCTCTTCATGGTTTTAAACCCTGAGGCGCAGAAAATGAGATTCTGAGGACATGAAGGAAATTGGTAAATCTGTAAACAAGTAAAACACAAGAAATCTGTAAGGTCAACCAATCAATCACCAATCAATCCATCCATCCATCCATCC